AGATTACAGTTGGATGGTCATGCGGCGTTCAAAGCCAACATCTGTGTGTTGGGTCCAAGATGCACAGCAATAAATAAAAGGCCAGGACAAGCTCAAGCAACAAACTAATGAGCACCAACCCCACACTATATGAACCGGCACGGTTGAGGGTTGAGGGCTCTGGTTTTAGGCTTTGGGGTGCCCTAGATATTAGGTGCCGTATTATAATAAGGACCCAAAAAGGGACCATAATTTTGCTTCACGTCCGATGCTGCCCAGGAACGCTGCCTGGAGCTGCAGTTGATGAAAAGGGCCTGGCTCTGGTTCTGCAGAAAGTTGACATTCACGTAGAATCCCCCACCTGAGGTTCTTTGTTTTTTTTCTGTTTTCCCCCGCCTGAGGCTCAGGGTCGGGGGACTTAGCAACTGGATATTTTAGCGACTTGTAAGTACCATAACCCCAGTTAGGGTCCCTTTTAGGGTACTTATAAGTGTACTTACTACCTACTTACTAAGTCCCCCGACCCTCCAAGTGAGGTTCCCAACAGCCTCACTGGCCCAGAAGCCAAGGGAAACAAAAGCTGAAACTTTCAGAATCGACTACCTTATAAGAACCGCAAAGTTGGAAAGCTGAGTATATCTTGAATAAGAGAAGCAGAAGGGAACTTGAGGATCCCGAGATCGTGTCAGGTCCACTCCCTTCAACAAATGACAGGTTTTAAGATCTGGGGGAACTTCAACAAGGTGGACTCTAGACCTAGTCCTGCGGTAGACCCAAAAGCAAACCCCATAAGCAAGGCCAGAAGGAATCTCTCCACAAAAAGCTGGTGAACCCCCGAGTTCGACTCCCTGGCTCTCAGAGCCTATCTCCCCCAGACCCTCGTCCCGCGACAAGAAATTGCACTAATGAAGCCTTGTGCCCCTGCACTGTCGCCCTGGAGCCTTGTGTCCCCTGCTACCTCCCTGCCTGTCCCTGTTGTTGTTCCTATCTATTCATGTGGGTAGTTGTCAAAATTAAGGTCCCTCTTTGGTACCCTAAAGTAATAGGTGCCGTATAAAAAGAAGGACCCAAAAAGGGACCCTAATTTTGACAACTACCCATTTACATACTGAATCGTCTCTAGGCTGGCCCATCTCCATGCATGGACTGCATGGCCACAGCTCTTTCTAATCCGTTACGCAATGGTCCGAAAGAAATCTGCATGAAAAGTTACCTCGAGCTCAAGGCTACCTGCCGTCACGATTGCTGCCACGGCACCACTTTCTTTCGAAGCGCAATTCTCAACATGCGTCGTGCTGTTCTCTGCCTGCTCGAAATTCAAGGCGTAAGAAGCACCGCCTGGGTGGCACGCAGTCACCAAATAATCAGGGCTTTCGTCGGTGTCAGTAAGATGAAATTACAAAACCTTTGCGACCCCATCTAGTCCATCTTTCCTGTGCAGTCGCAGCAGATTGCAACAGCGGTATATACGGACGCTCCAAGACGCCCCTAGCACACGACTTCCTGCATCTAAAGCAGGTTCTGCAAGGAGGCTATGCCCTGAGACGTGACTCCAGCAGATGTAAGTCGTTGTCTCAGCATTTTATTCGGAAAACGTCGGCATTTGCAAAAAGTTGGCAGGTGTTCGGGAGTAGCCTTAAACCCGAAACCCCGAAGGTCCAAATTTCTGTGGTAAGCAGCAAAGCGCGAAGCCCTGCCCCTCCCAGGCCGTCAGGCTAAAAGAACACTTAGAAGTCTTTACACTTCTCGCGAGGACTGTCATGGCCCGCGTAGTGACGATAACTTTGTGACGTAAACGATGCTAATACCCGTCACAGTGACTTGAAGCTGCCGGCTTCGATCAACAGTAGCCCTGGATGCCATAATGTATATCAATCTACAACAAGTCCCGACAGAGCCTGAAAACATTTCTCGTTTGAGACAGCAGACTCCAGCCTTTCTTGCTTCTTGCTTCGTGCTTCTTGATTTGGCCCAGGTGAATTCAGAATGCCACTCAGCACTCGCGTCCAGACATGAATGCTGAATCTCTATCTGCCTGCTGTGCTGCGATCGCCCATAATAACGCTTCATAACCACACTCTAGCAACCCGAATCTCAGTGCTGCCCTGGCTCCGCTTCGCTTTGAAGTGCACCACTCGAAGTGTGCCATGCTATGCTCAGCCTGCGCAAAGTTGCCAATGACGTGCATGCCACCACCTGAGTGCTGCTCGACGCACAAAACGAGCAAGGACTGCACACTCGGCGGCTGTTGAATTTAGAGCACTAATGAGGCTAGGATACTGACTTTGATACGGCGGGGGCTGCTTCTCCACATGCCACTGCTGCCGGGATTCCATCACCCTCTGAGCTGCAACTTCCAAAGTGCACCTTGCTGTTCTTGTCCTGCTTGAAATCATTCTGAATGAACGAACCACCACCTCCTGAGCAGCACGCTCATCTCAAAACGGTGAGTGGCAGATTCCTACCAGCGCGACCCACATCCTATTGCTGCCCTTGTTCCGAGCTCTTCTGAAGTGCACCGCTCGAAGTGCGCCGTGCTCTGCTCAGCCTGCGCAAAGCTTCCTCCGACAAGCAAGCCACCGCCTGGGTGCTGTCCAGAGCAATGAACACGGTTTAGGGTTTAGGGTTTAGCAATGAACAACGCCACGAAACTCGAGGGATGTACTTGGAGGTTCATGGGTAGTTATAAGTGGGGCTATTATGTCCCCTAATATGGATTTTAAGTATAGTTACCTCACTAATAACCCTACTTATAACTACCCATGAACCTCCAAGTATTGGCAAGTTCCCAGGCACGCGGGGCCGCTGCGTGTAAAGCACTCATGGGGTCCGAATGCTATCGCAGGCCTTGATACATGTCCAACTGTTCGTCAAGGGCTTCTACATACTGGACTTTCGTCTTGCAGCATTATTGATCTGGATGGCTGATCGTGAGGCCCACATAGAACGAGCTCCATCCCATTCGACCGAAGACGACAGCCCTCCTGTCCACGAAACACTACCATTAAGACCGCTGCTTATCTACATGCCATTGCTGTCCGGGCTCCAGCACCCTCTGAGGTGCAACTCTCAAAGTGCACGGTGCTGTTCTTGTCCTGCGTGAAGCCACTCTGAATGTTCAACCCACCACCTGAGAGGCGCAACGACTCCAGCAAATTCCTGACAGCTTCGCAATGCGCATCTCATTGATTCCCAAGAGCCTGCTTGTTTTGAAGTGCACCGCTGGAAGCTCGCCGTGCTGTGCTCAGCCTGTGTTAGGCTGCCATCGACGTACAAGCCACCACCTGAGTGCTGCTCTAAACACGTGCAATGCCACTAAACACGCAAGGACGAATGGTCAAGTTTCTGCAAACTCTGCAGCTGTTGAGTCTAGAGCCCTCATGAGGTCCGGGGACTATCGGATACCTTGGTACAGACTACATCCAACTGTTCGTCAACGGATTCTAGACTCAAAGGCTAATCGCGCCCTCGTGTCCACGAAACACTATTATTCCACCTGAAGAGGCCTTCTACACATGGCATGGCTGCCGGGGCTCCATCATCCAATGAGCTGCAGTTCTCAAAGCGCACGGTGCTGTGCTTGTCCTGCCGGAAGTCTCCCTCTCCAACGCACAACCCGCCACCTGAGCGGCACTCCATCGGATACCTTGACACAGACTACATCCAACTGTTCGTCACTCTCATCCGGCAGTGTAGATCTGCAAGGCTTCTCGTTAGGCCGACAAGGCAAAGAGTTCATTCTCTTGGGTATCAAACAACCCTCCAAGAAACACTGCTATTCCTATATAAGAAAAATTTGGCATGATATATAAAATAGCACATAGCATGATATACTATACCAAAACTTCTATTCTTTATCGGCAGCGCAGGCAAGTCTGCAACTGAGAACGGCTGCTGCCATTGCTGCCGGGGCTCCAGTACCCTCTGAGCTGCAACTCTCGAAGTGCAAGGTGCTGCTCTTGTTCTGCCTGAAGCCATCCTGAACGAACAGTCCACCACCTGAGGCATAGCAACTCGAAAAAAGGCAAGCAGCAAATTCCTGACAGCTTCGCGAAATGCATCTCATTGCTGCCCGAGCGCCCGCTTGTTTTGAACTGCACCGCTCGAAGTGTGCCGTGCTCTTCTCAGCCTGCCCAAAGTTGCCTCCGACATGCAAGCCACCGCCTGGGTGCTACAGGGCATACTGCCTCAAAACACCGAGCATGTATAGGCAAGTTCCCAGGCACTGCGGGGCCATTGCAATGAAGCCCTCATGCAGCCCGACCACTATCGCAGACCCTGATACAGACTATATCCAACTGCCTGTCAAGGGCTTCTAGATTCCGGACTTTCGTTTTGCGGCACTATTGACCTGGAAGGCTTCTCGATGCTCCTCTTGAGGCCAGCATGGGAATGGAAGGAGGTCCAGCCCGTTCCACAGGAGACAACAGCCCTCGTGTCCACGAAACACTACTATTCCAGCTCCAGCCGAAGACGGCTTCTCCACATGCCATTGCTGCCGGGGCTCCATCATCCATTGAGCTGCAGCTCTCACAGCGCACGGTGCTGTTCTTGTCCTGCCTGAAGCCTCGCTGAACGTACAACCCGCCACCTGAGCGGCGCAACAACCCGCAAAGAGGCCAGGTGCAAATTCCCAATCGTCTAACAATCCGCTTCTCGTTGCTGCCGTAGCTCCTTTTTCTTTTGAAGTGCACTGCTCGAAGTGCACCGTGCTCTGCTCAGCCTGCGAAAAGTTGCCTCCGACGTGCAAGCCACCGCCTAAGTGCGGCTCGAAGCGCACGCATTGCCACAAAACAGGCAAGGACGAATGGGCAAGCTCCCACACACTCTGCGGCCGTCGCACAGCCCCCATGCGGTCCGGATACTATCACATATCTTGATACCGAGACAAAGAAAGCTCAAGCCTTGCAGTCTGAGACGGACTACATCCAACTGTTTGTCAAGGGCTGCTAGATTGTAGACTTTTGTTATCCGGCAGTATTGATCTGGAAGGCTTCTCACACTGCCCACGTGGAAGGAATTCAATCCCCTTGCGCGCGAGCAAACCCTCCTCCACGTGCTTCTTTAGCGGCCGCGCAAGCAAGTCTGGAAGTGATCACGGTGGCTGCTTCTCCACGCGCCATTGCTGCCGAGACTCCATCACCCTCTGAGCTGCAGTTCTCACAGCGCAAGGTGCTGTTCTTGCCCTGCTTGAAGTCAATGCTAACGAACAACCCACCACCTAAGTGTCACGCAGCTCGAGAAACAGCAGACAGCTTCGCAATGCGCCTCTCATTGCTGCCCGAGCACCTGCATGCGCTGAAGTGCACCGCTCGAAGTGCGCCGTGCTATTCTCAGCCTGCGTAAGGCTGCCATCGATGTACATGCCGCCGCCGCCACGGCCGCGGACGCCTGGGTGTTGCCCAAAGCATGCATCGGCAAGCCCCTGCACACTCCGTGGCTGTTGCGTTTAGAGAGCCCTAATGATCTCCGCATACTATTGGATACATTGATACAGACTACATCCGACTCTTCGTCAAAGGCTTCCGGATTCTGGACTCTCTGAATCCGGCCGTATCGATCTGGATGGCTTCTCGAGAGGCCAGCATGGAAGGAGTTCCATCCCCTCGCATCCCCTCGCAGCCGCCGCAGCAGTCGCAGTCGCAGTCACCGTAGTGGTGGTCGTAGTCGTCGATGTGGTGGTGGTGGTGACATAGTAGTGGAGGTAGTGATAGTGATAGTGTGAGCTACTGGTCGGTGGCAGTGGCTGATGGCTGTGGTAGTGGCACTGGTAGTTGTCGCGATAGCGGTAGCAGTGGCGGTGGCGGTAGCGGTTCTGGCAGCAGCGGTTGGGGCAGCAGCGGTTGTAGCGGTACCGGTCGTCGTGGTAACGTTGTAGTAGAAATAGTAGTACTAGTAGTAGAAGTAGTAGTAGTTGTTGTTGTAGTTGTTGTTGTAGTTGTTGTGTTGTTGTTGCGGTGGTAGTAGTAGTAGTAGTAGTAGTAGTAGTAGTAGTAGTAGTAGTAGTAGTAGTGTAGTAGTAGTAGTAGCAGGAGCAGGAGCAGGAGTGTAGGAGTGTAGGAGTGTAGGAGTGTAGGAGTGTAGGAGTGTAGGAGTGTAGGAGTGTAGGAGTGTAGGAGTGTAGGAGTGTAGGAGTGTAGGAGTGTAGGAGCGTAGGAGTGTAGGAGTGTAGGAGTGTAGGAGTGTAGGAGTGTAGGAGTGTAGGAGTGTAGGAGTGTAGGAGTGTAGGAGTGTAGGAGTGCAGGAGTGTAGGAGTGTAGGAGTGTAGGAGTGTAGGAGTGTAGGAGTGTAGGAGTGTAGGAGTGTAGGAGTGTAGGAGTGTAGGAGTGTAGGAGTGTAGGAGTGTAGGAGTGGGAGTAGTAATAGCAGCAGTAGTAGTAGTAGTAGTAGTAGTAGTAGTAGGAGTAGGAGTAGGAGTAGTAGTAGTAGTAGTAGTAGTAGTAGTAGTAGTAGTAATAGCAGTGGTAGTAGTTGCAGGAGTAGCAGTGGCAGTAGTAGTAGTAGTAGTAGTAGCAGTCACCAGGTGGCGGTGGCGGTGACCCTCAGTGGCAGCAGCGGGCCGCAGCAGGCAGTAGGAGCATCCACGGGATACGTCCCTCGTGTCCAGGAAACACTACTCTTCCAGCAAATAATATATAAGAGTAATACAGCATAATATATAGTATATAAGGTTAATATAGAAATATATACAATATATAAGGGTAATATAGCATAGTATATAGTATATAACATAGCATGATACACTATACTCAAACTTCTATTCGTTATCGGCAGCATGTAAGTCTGGAAGTGAGCACATCTGCTTCTCCACATGACATTGCTGCGGGGGCTCCATCATCCTCTGAGTCATCTTCTGAGCTGCATTTCCCAAAGTGTAGGGTGCTGTCCTTGTCCTGCTTGAACTCATACTCAACGAACAACCCACCACCTGAGTGACTAGACCAAGTCGCAAACAGGCCAGAAGCAAAATCCAAGCAGTATGGGAGTTTCCGAAAATTAGGCATACCTTATTTTGGGGTCCTTACAATAAGGATCCTACTATTTAAGGTACTGTAGTAGGGTCGCCTATTTTCGGAAAGTCCCACATAGCAATCCGCATCGCCTTGCTGCCAAAGCTCCTCTTTGCTTTGAAATGCACCGCTCGAAGTGCGCCGTGCTCTTCTCAGCCTGCTGAAAGCTGCCACCGACGTAGAAGCCACCGCCTGAGGCTGTGGCATGTATGGGTAGTTGTCAAAATTAGGGTCCCTTTTTGGGTGCCCGAAATATTAGGTGCCGTATTATAAGGACCCAAAAAGGGACCATCATTTTGACAACCACCCGCATGTTTAGAGCCCTCATAGGTCCGGATACTGTCGCATACCTTGATACAGCCTACATCCGAAACCTTCTGGTAAATCCGCTAGTAAGAGTAGTAATAGTAGTAATAGTAGTAATAGTAGTAATGTAACAGTAATAATAGTAGTAGTAGTCATTGCTTCCGGGGCTCCATCACCCTCGGAGGCGCAACTCTCAAAGTGCACGTTGCTGTTCTTGTCCTGCTTGAAGTCAGTGTGAACGTACGACCCACCACCTAAGCGGCACGTCAACTCACAAAAAGGCCAGCGGCAAATTCCCAGCAGTTTAGCAACCAACATCTCATTGCTGACCCGGCTCCAGTGGTTTTCGAATTACACCGCTCGAAGTGCGCCGTGCTCTGCTCAGCCTGCGTAAAGCTGCCAATGGTGCTCAAGCCACCACCTGAGTGCTGCTCGAATCACACGCAATGCCCCACAAAACGCGCGAGGGTGCATGTGTAAACTCTCCCACACTCTACGGCGGCTGCATTTAGAGCCCACGGCGTTACATTTAAAGCCTTCAGCGCGTCCAGCTAGTATCCATACAACAGTCTACATTCAACTTTTTGTCAAGCGCTTCTAGCTTCTGGACGTGTATTCGTTTTCCGGCAACATGAGCTGGAAGGCTTCGCGTGAGGCCAGCATGGAAGGAGGTTCATCCCCTTCCGCGAGAGAGAATGCTCGTGTCCAAGAACACTACTGGTCAAGCTGCCTCTGCATCGGCGGCGCAAGCAAGCGCGGACGTGAGCATGTCTGCTTCTCCATGTGCCATTGCTGCCGGGGCTCCACCACCCTCTGAGCTGCAACTCTCAAAGTGCACGGTGCTGTTCTTGTCCTGGTTGAGGTCACCCATGACACGCATTCCACCACCTGGGCGGCATGTCAACTCAGAAACTTCAAGCAGCAAATTCCTAACAGCTTGAGAATCCGGATCTCCATCTCATTGCTGCCCCGGGCTCCAGCTTGCTGTGAAGTGCACCACTCGAAGTGTGCCCTGCTCTTCTCAGCCTGCCAAAAAACGCCTTCGACGTTCAGACCGCCGCCTGCGCCTGAGTCAATGCGGTTTAGAGTTTAGGGTTTAGGGTTTAGAGTTTAGGGTTTAAGGTTTAGGGTTTATTAAACGGGTCACCACCCAGAGACGCTGCCTGGCCCCACAAAAGGGGAGTTTCCGAACATAGGGGACCCTTATAGAGTACTCTGAGTAGTAGGATCCCTGGTTTTATAACCCCCAAACAAGTTGTCGGAAACTCCCCTATCACCCCTAAACCCTAAACCCTAAACCTGCCCGGGCTCCCCCACCCTCAGAGTGGCAGTGCTGAAAGTGCACGGCGCTCTTCCTGTCCTGCCGGAGGCCAGAAGCCGAGCACCCACCGCCTGAGCGGCACACCAACCCAGAGGCTCCAATATCCCCTGATTAAGGAATATACCCTGAATTTTTCTAGGATCCCCAGTCTGATTTAAGGTAAGGTCCTTAAATTAAGGGATAATTATGGAATCTCTGGAAAAGCTCGCAGAAAAGGCAAACACCAGCAAACCTCTCAACGCTGCCCGGGCTCCGGAGCGGTTCGAAGCGCACCGCGCGAAGCGCGCCGTGCTCTCCGCCGCCTGGAGAAAGCTGCCCTCGACGTGCAGGCCACCGCCTCAGTCTAAAGGATTCCATTAAGGCTCCCTTTCAAAGGGATCTATAGGGATTCTATAAGGGTATAGGGTAGGGAATGGAAGGGGCCTTATAAAGGGGTCTTGTAAGGGTTACTATAAGGGATCTATAAAAGTGCCATAATATAGGGGCCTTAATAATCCTATAGCTTACCTTTGGTTAGTAGGCAATGGAAGACTGGTAGTAATAGCAGTTAGAATTGTATCCCATTCCTCCATTCCCTACTAACGAAAGGTAAGCAGTGCTCCGCCCGAAAAAATGATCAGAATTGCCGAAAAACACGCTGAACCTCACGACTGCTCACCGATCATTTTGGCAAGCTCCCTCCACCCTCGGCATTGAATGCTGCCCCGGCTCCATAGCTATTGGAAGTGCACCGCTCGAAGTGCGCCCGGCTCTGCTCAGCCTGCAAAAAGCCGCCGCCTTTGATAATGTTCAAGCCACCACCTCAGCAGTTTAGGGTTTAGGGTTTAGGGTGTAAGATGCAACTGACTAACTAACTTTGTTACGGTGCCGGCAGCCCCCAAATGTCTAAGATGCACAAGGCCACAGCAAGGGCTTCAGAGGCTTCTGTGTATCCATCCATCCCGAACCCCCTTTCCTAAACCCTAAACCTGAAGCCCTTAAGCCCTACCTGGACCCTCAGGAACCTACCTTTTTGGGGTTCCTTATGATGATTTCCTTATTTAAGTCCTTAAGAAGGTAGGCTATCTACTTGGAGGTTCATGGGTAGCTATAAGCGGGGCTATAAGTCCCTTAATATGGGTTACAAGTATAGCTACCCCCTACTTATAACTACTCATGAACCTCCAAGTTGGGGTTCAGGTAGAGCCTGAAGCCCGCTGGCGCCCGAAACCCCACGGGTGCGAGGCCCACCGAAAGGGGTCGCATCGCCGTTTACTGGAGACGGCTCTCGGTCTGCTCTTACTTAAGGGAGGCTCCGGGTTTAGGGTTTATGCCCTTTAGGGTTTATGGCCTAGGGTTTAGGGCCTAGGGTTTAGGGTTTAGGGTTTATGCCCTTTAGGGTTTGGGGCTTAGGGTTTAGGGTTTAGGGCTTGGGGTTTAGGGTTCAGGCTTAGGGTTTAGGGCCTAGGGTTTAGGGTTTAGGGTTCAGGCCCCTTAGGGTTTGGGGCTTAGGGTTTAAGGTTCAGGCCCTTTAGGGTTTAGGGCTAAGGGTTTAGAATTTCGGGGGGCTTTGGGTTCAGGGTTTACGCTTTAGGAGTTTTATTGGGACCTCCATAGAGTAGTTGTAAGTTACTCAAAGCCGCGGCTATGAGAGTGAGCTGAGCTGCTTCCCTGCATGCAACTGCTGCCGTGGCTCCTTCACCCTCGGATCTGCAATTCTCAAAGTACGCGCCGCTGCTCTTGTTCTGCTTGAAGTCACCAAACAGATGCAACCCACCACCTTAGCGGCACACCAACTCCCGACAAAAGACAGGACTCTTCTGCCTATGCATGCCTTATCAGCTTTCACATGCATGCGTTCTACACCGTGACGAGTGCTAAGCGGCCCAACGACCCTCTGTGTTCCTTGTGAGGCAATACGAAGACAAGTTTGGGACAAGTTGTCAGCATATCTGGACATGCCGCAGGCTGCGGTTTCGCCAAGACAGACACTGCAGAAATGCAAACCAAGCAGCTTAGGACAGTAATTATTTTTACTATGGTTGATATTCTTATTATGATGATTATTAGTATTACTGTTTTTTAGTACGACTATTTTTGGTAGCATTGTAGTTATTACTACCGAACATCTTCACATGCTGACTTTTCGTCGACCTCAACTTCGACGGCTGATGTTGCTTCGCAAGAAGTGGCACTTCTCGATATGGGAGATTCCGAAAGTAGGGGACCCTCATACAGTACCCTAAATAGTAGGATCCTTGTTATAAGGACCGCAAAACAAGGTACCCCTAATATTCGGAAACTACCATATAGCAACGCTTCCACAGTCCAGGCTAGTCACATAAGGTTTCACTTTCCGACATAACTGGGATTTCGAAGAAGTTCACACTTGTTGGTTCTTGGGTGCAACAGGCCTCACATCTCGACTGCTCTGCTCTCCGTCTCCGCAACAAATGCCATCACTTCTCACATTCCGGCCTTCCCGCATTGAGTTTTACTTTGAACTTAAACTTTTTGCTGGAGTCACAAAACCTTTGCCGCGTTTTCGACACCTAGTCCAGCTTTTCTTTGTTCGACCGTGTGGCAAATAAGGCGGTTTTCAATTTTTCAGGAGTTTCACTTCTTCCTTGTCGAAACGTCTGCGGGTGGTGTCACTTCCTAACTTCTCGGGTAATCCACAGTTGCAGGGATTTTAGGATCCACATATGGGTGGTTGTCAAAATTATGGTCTCTTTTGGGGTACCTTAAATAAACAGTGCCGTACAATATTAGGGACCCAAAAAGGGACCATAATCTTGATAACCACCCATATCTAGAAAGGCCGATTGAGAAGTCGAAGCTGGTGTTCGAGGCAGACCAGAGGATTTGCAATGCCTCCAAACTGGGCCAACTTTTGGTTTCTGAGTTGTCCTTTAAGCCCTTTGAAACCTATTTACTATTATGGTTCTCTACAAAATGGTAGGGGAAATTAAAAAGATCCCAAAGGACAACCCAGGTTTGTGGCTCAGGTATCGGCTCAGGTATCATGAGGGTTTAGGGTTTAGAGTTTAGGGTTTACGGGTCTAGGGTTTCGGTTATCATGGTTGCGACTTGTATGGCTTTGAATGTTCTCGATGCACGGCAGTAGACATACTGTCACCAGTCTGCCGGAAACAGCTTTCTGCAACCAACCCAAATATGCAATACTCGAGCGAACCTAAGCAAGCAATCTTACCTCTTGCGTTGGACTTCCGCAGATTCCCAGCACTTCCCAACCTGCCATTGATACCGGGGCTCCGCTGCCCTCTGAAATGCATCGCTCAAAGCGCACCGTGCTCTTCTCCGCCTGCACGAAGCTGCCTTCAACGTACGATCCGCCACCTGGGCGCTGCCCACTTGGAGGTTCATGTTTACTTCTAAGTAGGGTCATAAGTAGGGTAACTATACTTATTCTAACCCATATCCGGAAACTTAGAACCCCACTTACAACTACCCATGAACCTCCAAGCAAGATGCACAAGCCCACAAAACAAGCAAGCAGCCGTGGGCTTAGTGACTCATGGTCGTGCGTGGCAAGCTTCCTCACACTCTGTGGTTTAGGGTTTGCTGTTTAGGGTTTTGCATTGCCTCATGCTTTTTGTAATCCAGTGTGCATCCTACTGCTCATCACGACCTTCTGAGTCATACAATCACTCCGGCATATGCGCACCGGTTCTGCTATAGACCAATGCTGCACCGGCTCCGTCATTTCTCGAAAAGCAATCCACGAAGTACGCGGTGCTGTTCTTGGCCTGCTCGAAATCGCCTGTCACGAACAAGCCACCACCTGAGTACCCCGGGACACGGGACCCAGGAAACAGGCGAGGTACTGAGCCTACAAGTCTCGCAGCTGCTACGTCTTCAGGCCTGCTCGCTGCTTGGGTCCCAAGAAAGTGCTCCTTCTCACGAACATACATGCACATTTGCCAGTGACCTACAGCATCCGGTGCCCTACTGCTCACCTGGGGTGCATGCCAGCGGTGTTGTCAGCCAGTTGCAACGGCGCGTGTTGAGGAAAACGAAGTTGAATTGTCTACACAAGGGCGTAGCTTTTGCTAGTCTTGCTGTTAGGGGCTCAAAACATTCTGCAGGTGCGATGACATGCGATTGATCAGATCGCCGTTCCACCTTCAAGCATGGCTTCGTTGCACAGCGACTACTGGGCGTGCGTGACCACCTGTGTCCATGGACGAGGACAGCACACACACATATCAAATAAGCAGCAGTAATCCACAAGGCTTGCATGAATACCATGCTGGCTCCAAACTCCCCCTCCTCCTGTGCAAAAACGACTTCACATGTTGAATAGCTCCACAACCCGAACTTTGTTGCTGTCCCGGCTCCCGTTCTCGCTTTGCAATTTTCGAAGTGCACGCTGCTGGTCTCCGTCTGCGAAACGTTGCCCGCACACAAGCCACCGCCTGAGTCAAGCAGCAAACAACGATCGATACAAGACTCGCGCGCTCTGCTTGCAAATGCCAGGTTGGTTGGCTAACTAAGTTTGACCGTGCCGCCGATGTATTGCGAGGTTACCACGTGAAAAAAGGCTCGGCCTTTCCGCAAAGCTTAAGTCTCACCCAAACCTACACCCAGACCACAATGCAAAGCTGCAGGTGCAGCCTGTTGCCACATGCAAAGCCTTTGCTCACAAGCCCCGCAGCAATCAGTGCTGCCCTGGCTCCTTTTTTGGCTATGCAGCTCCGGAAGTCAGCTGCACTGCTGCCGCTTTGGAGGAAATTCCGGACAGACATGCCGCCACCTGAGGCCGTCAGCAGCGGAGGTTATGAGATAGCACGTGCTTCGCCGTGGTGGTTAACCGGCAGGGACTTGACGGGGTTTAATAGGGCCTCGGAAGAACCAAGACAAGCTGTCTACCCAGTACTTGCGAGAACCACCACCATCATTAGCACATAGCGCTACCTCGCCCAGCTTAGCTTAGCTCACCACATTCAAACAGCTACCTTCTTAGCAGACACACCTCAAGCAATAGAGACTTTCGCAAAAAACTGATCTCAAGCTCTGCACTGTCAAAGAGATGTCTACCCATCTCGGCTTCAACAACCTCTCATCCGCGCTGGACTGCTGTATGTATCCAGCGGCACTGATGATCATTGCTGCCGCGGCTCCGTTGCGCTGCGAGGTGCAGTTTTCGAATTGCAGCGTGCTGGTCTCAGCATGCAGGACCTTGCTGACGAACAAGCCACCGCCTGAATGAAGCAGTAAGGGTTTGGAGTTTGGGGTATTGCAAAGCCGCGACGGAGCAACTTACACAGAACATCCTCAAAGATTGCGAGCCCTAATCTGACAGAAAGAGAGCCCAAGTCCCAGGTCTCACGCGCGGCCATTTCATCAGTCGCAAACGCTTCCCAAAGAATCGCTGGTCCGCGCCTCCCATCTTCTTCGAAGCGCATTTCTCGAAGTGCACCGTGCTCTTCTCAGCCGAGAAATTGCCTCGAACGAATAAGCCGCCACCTCAGTGATACAGAAGCTCTGCGCCCCTCTGCTACAACCCCGTCAATGGGCTCGGTGTTTGGGGTTATTAGAGTGTACGGCTTAGGGAGAAAAGCCGCAAGGCGCACACGTGGGAGACAAAGCCTGCAATTTGCAATGCTTCTAACACCCTAAACCATAAACCTTAAACCTTAAACCCTGCAGCCGGAGTTCCGTTCGCCATCGTCTTACAGCGCAAGAAGGTTGCGGTGCTTTTGGCCTGGAGAAAACTGCCGCCCACATAGAGACCGCCTCCTAAGCGGGCCATAGGACTTAAAGGGTTTAGGGCTTTAGGGTTTAGGGGTTTAGGGTTTAGGGCTTAGGGCTTAGGGTTTAGGGCTTAGGGCTTAGGGTTTGAGGGCTTAGGGTTTAGGGTTTTAGGGCTTAGGGCTTAGGGTTTTACGGCTTAGGGTTTAGGGTTTAGGGTTTTAAGGCTTAGGTTTTAGGGTTTAGGATTTTAGGGCTTAGAGCTTAGGGCCTAGGGTGCAGGGTTTCACAAAAGTTCTATGGGGGTCTGATGGCTCGGTAGGTTCAAGCAGTGGTCGGCGTATCGAAGGGATCATAAGGTGTTTCTGGCACAACAACTCGCAATGGCCTTTGCCCGGCTTCCAGGCGCAATGCGTATACTCGGGTTGTCTGAACATGCATCTTAGAGATGTCTATGGCATCTGCAAGTCCACAAATACTCACAAATCTCTAAACCCCAAACCCTTTTCATGAGATTCTACAAGAGACCCGGGCCTCGCTGGGTAGCACGGCAATCCTCGAACTTGGCATGGCTGCTGGTCATGAAGACATTCTTTGCGGCATAGACCGCTCCTCCATTTCCGCCCTGGCCCCACGAAATCAGCTACCGGATTGCTGTGAAGGAGTTCGAATACATGAACACCAAACATGGGTACACAACACGAGCTTAACTCAAGCTCTTAGGAGATGCAAGTCTGTGACGGAATTGGAACAACATTAGGGTTTAGGGTTTAGTACTTCCTAAACCCGTAAAGCCCTAAAACCCCCTAAACCCCTAAATCCCCTAAACCCCTATAGCCCCTACAAAACCCCTAAAGCCCCCTAAAGCCCCCTAAAAACCCCTAAAACCCCTAAAACCCCTAAACCCCCTAAACCCCTTAAACCCCTAATAAACCCCTAAACCCCCTAAACCCCCTAATAAACCCCCTAAGCCCCCTAAAAATCCCTGAAAAAAATTTAAAACCCCTAAAACCGCTAATAAGCCCCCAATAAACCCCTAAAAAAACCCTAAAACCCCTAAAAACCCCTCCAAGCCTTGTGTTGGCAGCCCCGAAAGCTGGCGTTCGCCTCCTCGAGCCGGAGCTCTCCGTGGACGGCGAGGCAAGGCCTCACTTGACCAGGGCTCGGTTTAGGGTTTGGGGTTTAGGGTTGAGGGTTTAGGGTTTAGGGGTTTCGGGTTTAGGGTTTACGGTTTAGGGTTTAGGGGTTTAGGGTTTAGGGGTGTAGGGTTGAGGGTTTAGGGGTTTAGGGTTTAGGGGTTTAGGGTTTAGGGTTGAGGGTTTAGGGTTTAGGGGTTTAGGGGTTTAGGGTTTAGGGGTTTGGGGTTTAGGGTTTGGGGTTTAGGGGTTTAGGGGTTCAGGGTTTAGGGTTTAGGGGTTTAGGGTTTTAGGGCTTAGGGTTTAGGGTTTAGGGTTTAGGGGTTTAGGGTTTAGGGTTGGTTTAGGGTTGGTTTAGGGTTGGTTTAGGGTTGGTTTAGGGTTTAGGGTTTAAGGCCTCACTTCCCCAGGGGTTTAGGGGAGTGGAAGACTATATTGAAAGGGTTTAGGGTATAGAATCGTACCATATGCTAAGTGTCATACGGCCTTACACGCCCAGGGCGGCAGCGGAGTCGAAGAACTAATGTTGAAAGGGTTTTTTTATGGTTTAAGGAGTCGAATAATCCTAATGATTCAAGGTTTAGGGTTTAGGGGCTGAGTGTTTCGGGTTTGGGGTTTAGCGGTTGGGGTTTAGGGTTTAGGGTATTGAATAATGCTAATGATTCAGACATATTACAACTATGACTCCTGCGTCTCATACTAATTCATATGGGCCTTAGTTGTCCAGGGTGTCAAGGTTGGGCGTTAGGAGTTGCAGGCTGCTCTTTTGAGCTCCCTTTGCTATTTCCGCCAGCCTTGTCTCCAGTCAGTCGGGCTTAGGGAGCGAATGGTTGACCTGTGGGACTATGTCTGTGTATAAATATACAAATATAAATATACATATACATATACATATACATATACATATACATAAACATCTACATCTACATATACATATACATATACATATACATATGCATATGCATATGCATATACATATACATATACATATACATATACATATACATATATATATATATATACATATACATATACATATACATATACATATACATATACATATACATATACATATACAAATACATATACATATACATATACATATACATTATATATAGATATAACTATGGATATACAGTGTCATTCTACTACCCCAGAAAAGGTCAAGGTTACTTACTCTGCTACTAAGAGGCCCTGTCATCTTGGCAATGACGCGAACTTCGCCCATCAGCAAGAGGTCGCCTCCGGGGAGAGCAGACAGGGTGACATTAGGCTTTGTTTGTAAGATTTAGGGTTTAGCGGTTTAGGGGTTTAGGGTTTATTTAGTAGTTTTGAGTTAGGGGGGTTTAGGGGTTTAGGGTTTAGGGTTTATATAGTAGTTTTGAGTTAGGGGGTTTAGGGGTTTAGGGTTTAGGGGTTTGGAGGTTTAGGGGTTTCGGGTTTACGGGTTTTGGGCTTAGGATGCAAGGTTTAGGGTTTCCTTGCGGTAAAGGATGATGTAGTATTTGGTTGTATATGAGGTGGGAACCCTATGTTGGTAACTTTTGCACGGCCTGCGAAGTTGAGTGACGACTGCAGGGTCACCTGGACTGGACACACAGCTTCCGGTGGGTTTGAGCGCGCGACGGAATCAGATCCAATAATCAGTCGGTAGACTATCACAGACACGAACATGCTGTAGCACAAAGCCCAAACACAACGAGAATCACACATTGGACGGCTCAAGTCTGCTTTGACGTCCGACGATACATGTGTCGTCTGAGGCTATGGCTGACGTCCCCGGCTCCGCACGCAGAACGCAAGGACCAGAGAAGGTGATGTTCTTCCTTATCGCAGGAGGACGCATCAGCAGAAATGGCTCAACCTGTCTACAGTAGAAGCCAGAAAGTTGGAATATCATTATCGTAACCCCTTTAAGGTAAATTATAGGGGATCCTACCATTAATCCATATTCCAACTTTCTGGAGTTCCCTTTATGAGCTGCATAAAGTCCAACCATAACTCACCCTGAACTCGAGTCTGTCCCTCAGTAGTATCACAATTATCAAACGCTTCTTCGCGGAAGCGCCCTTCCAGCATTGTGACGGCTTCTATTCTATGACTTGCAGAATCACCCTGAACCCTAAACCTTAAACCCATAAACCCGAAAGGCACTAAACCCGAAACCCCTGACCCCTAAACCCCTGAACCCCAAACCCTGAACCCCCAAAGGCCCTAAACCCTAGGTTTCGTGCGTGGCCCAGCGTCGTGACGATGTAGTGCCCCGAGAGGGTCTCGTTCATGCAGGACTCTGGGAAGGGCTTTGCCTCCCAAACTAATGTAGGGGCCTCATTAATTACCAATACTATTGTGGGGGTTCCTTATTATACTTATAGTATCACGGGCCCCCAAACCCTATTCTAATTATTAAGGCGAGGTTGAAGGCTTACTTCGGGTTTTGGGTCGTGGCATTTCGGGTTCTAGAGGCTAGCCGTATAGGATTTAGGACTTAGGGTTCAGGATTCAAGATTTAGGATTCAAGGCTTAGGGCTGTTTCGGTGCTTAGGGTGTAAGGTCTCTGATGATGATCCAGATCGCCTGTGTAGCCTATGGTTCACTCGCGATCTCACATCAATACCAATCATAGCACTCATGAACATCATTGTTCCGCTGACTAATGCATCACAGGGTTGAGCATGGGGGATCAAAATAGACCTTGGAGCAAGTACCCGACGAGAGTCCAATGAGAGGACATAGCAGTCCTTTTCCACATTTGAAGCAATTGGCATGGGCTTTTGCCCTTCATGCTACTTACTGCTGGTGCCTTACAGCATGGAGGAATAGATCCACGTAGTGGTCCGGATATCCACCGAGAAGGGATACTTGTCTATTCAGTCCTACACGGGCATTTTTGGAATCAAGCTCAGCAGCTGCGGAGCCTCGGCGGTCGAATTTGAGGGCAGCAACGTTGCAGAGAGATCTCGAAGAACAGGGGTAGCCTGCTCGCGTCGATAAACAAGCAGGCAGCTTTAACCTCCAGTCCAAACACGGTTAAAGGGCCAAGGGCTTAGGGTTCAGGGTTTAGGGTTTAGGGCAAACTCCACACACGGAACTGCCTGGTCCAACGACAGGCTTCCATCTTGATTGGGTGCACGAACAGCGCCACAGACAAGAAGCAATCCTCAGCGTGCGAGAACATGGAACCACATTGCCCTCGTGAGGACTAAGGCATGCAGATGTGAGAGTTTCCGAAAATTAGGGGTACCTTATTTTGGGGTCCTTATAATCAGGATCCTACTATTTGGGGTGCTACATTATTAGGGCTCCCCTATTTTGCGGAAACTCCCATTCTCAAACGACGACTTTTCCATGTCCAGGGCTCGGAAGAGGACGGCTGCCCAGACACGTGACGTCACTAACATGAAACGGCCGATCACAGACAACGAAACCTTGCACCACTTGGGTGCGAGCCAAATGGCGCCGGCACAAAATTCATCTGTCAATCTACAAACTCTGAACAGGACCTCTGCATTCTACTAAAAGCTCTACATACACACTGCTCGTCTTCAAGTCTTGTCCGGGTGCTTCTTCACCCCCTGCACTTGCTGCATTCCAACATCAACGCCCTTTGCTTGACCACATGAACCGTCCAGCCAGCACGCCAGTCGAGAGCCAGAGGGCAGATACTTCACCATCGTGTGCTCGGCATATCACCCAAGTAGGAGACTCTGGAACGAAGTGCTAGCAGCTAGCACAAAGCAAAGTTCATGCAGCAACATGTTTGACACCCCACTGCATGAAGTCGCATGAAGTCGCTCTGAACATCCCTGCCTTAGCAGCTGCTTTCAGGAAGCACAAACTCTGAAGGTCTCATCACAGGTCTGCACTAACAGCACGGCAACATCTGAAGTACCCACCGACGGTTTTGACAGCGCATCGAGCAGCGAACTGAAGTGCCCGTGTTCCGCACGATGCTCCTTATGTTCGTGGAGTGTTTCTCTTCTCCAGAAGCTTACCTTTGGTTAGTAGGGAATGGAGGAATGGGGTACAATTACAACTACTATTACTACCATTCTTCCATTCCCTACTAACCAAAGGTAAGGAAGGGCCAGGCAAACGGGAGCAAACGAAAAAACCCAAACATCAACATGAGACAGATAAAGAGCAAAGCGGAGTACGCGCAAGAGAACAAACACAGGCCCAGGGTTGCTGCTGCTGCTGCTGCTGCTGCTGCTAGGATTCCTGCTGATGATCTACTACTACTACTACTCCTCCTCCTCCTGTTGCTGCTACTGCTACTGCTACTGCTACTGCTACTGCTACTGCTACTGCTACTACTGCTACTACTACTACTACTACTACTACTACTACTACTACTACTACTACTATTACCACGTGAGGTGCATCTCGCCATCAACCATTGCACACATTCAAGAAAGCGAGTTGCTATACGAGCAGCTCTCCCTGTTCTGGCTTCCCAGAATCTCTGCCACGGCGCTCGGAACCTACATCCCCTGAAGAAAACCTGGTCGTGGTGTCTGGTCCAGCCTTCCCTACCCTCAGCTCCCACACGCCTCCTTGGCCCCCCTCAGGTCACCCAGCTAGTATGGCTTCCTCAATAGGGTCCTATAGGCTGCCTCCCAGAGCCTGAGCCAGTGTGCGTTTTCAACGGTAGCCGAGGCTGGCCGCGTCAGGATGCCGAATCAGGCCAAAGCTACCGCAACGGAGGGAAACGATGTTGCAGATTCACATGACATGGGAGTTTCCAAAAATTGAGGGGTACCTTACATTTGGGGTCCTTGCAATAAGGATCCTACAGTTCAGGGTGCTCTCTTAGGGTCCCCTATTTTTCGGAAACTCCCATGAAGGTGTTACCAACTACCGGGCCACGGCAGATGAACCCTAAACCCTAAACCCTAAACCCTAAACCCTAAACCCTGAACCCTAAACCCTAAACCCTAAACCCTAAACCCTAAACCCTAAACCCTAAACCCTAAACCCTAATCTTCAGAACTCTCAGAGGAAGCTGATGCTCTGCAGCGCGAGCTCCACAGTCTCCCCCTGCTCCAGGGCCGGCCACTTCGCTTTCAGGTCCTCCATACTTGGAGGTTCATGGTAGTTATATGTGGGGTTCTAAGTCCCCTAAAAATGTAGACAACATATAGGAAAAGATTGACAAAAATCTGTGAAATGTAGAGGACAATATTGACAAATATGGAAGAATGTAAGCGCATCCTCCTCCATGCCTCCATCCCTCCCGCCCTTAGTCCTGGAAGAGGCGCAGGGCCAGCGCTTCAGGGCCATCTGCGCAGGGAGTCCGGGTCGCCATTCTTTTCCGTACCGTCTAAGTACATGCCCGTAACTATCGAGTTATGACCATATAAGTAGTTATATACATACATAAGTACATATATATATATATATATACATGAATACTGTGGGCATGCTCCCCTTTCATCGCCTGGGCGCAGCACCTGGGCGCCTGCCATGGCGCAGGGCGCCAGCAAGGCAGCGTGGGACAGGCGCACCCAGCCTTCACAAAAACCCGCCAGCACAAAGAAAAACAGAAGCTGGCTCCAAAGCTCCGGGCAATTTATTATAAATTAATTATTATATGAAATTTTTATATATTATATATTATAATTTTAGTTTGTAGCTATATTTAATTGTAGCATCTCCTTACTTTTGAAGAAGGATGCCTTGGGAGAAGCCAACGGCCGCCACAGCTAGACCTCGGCAGACAACATGCCGCAAAAAAGCTTACGACTGCCCATAAGCAAGGCTCTAGAAATCAAGGCCTGCTTGGAAAAAGGTTGTCGTACGAGAGGTCTTGATGCAAAGAGCTTCGCTCCAGAAGCTTGGTTCAAGCAGCATGGCCACTCGCTGTGAGAAGTTAGGCGGACTACTTTTGTCATGGCCTGAGGACTTACCCCGAACCCCAGAACCTCAAACTGTTGCCTGACCCCCCGTGCCAAGGAGCAGAAGAAGCAAAAGCACTGCAGGTCGTTCACCTGCATAAGAAGGAAGACCCAACCGTCAAACAAAGCTCAGGGCTGGGAACAGTTTCGAGTCCAGGGTGCCAGGCTTTTCTGGGTCAGGGTTCAGTTCAGGGGCTCCGGGGTGGATCGACCAGGTGCAAATGCGCAAGCAGCCTGGTGCTGCCGGTAAGGTCGTAGAGTGCCGAGAGCCACCGCAGTGCACAGGGTGACTCCCAGGGTTAACTCCAAGCCGCTCTCGCCCCTGACGACCTGGCAAGGCTCTCAAAGTCTGTGGACACACTCTAGGCAGTCTGCAGGAGCCCATAGCGCGATGAGCATGAAAGTGTGTCCCCAAAGTTCCAAAATCAGCGCAACGCCAGGAGCTTCTGTGGCAGTTCCTGACTTGAGCCGAGGCGCAGCGACCAGGGCGACAGCGACGATCTTCATTGCCTCATTCGTTTTCGGCGTGGGGTTCTTGATTGAGAGCTCAACTCGGGGCACTCGGACAACAAAAATGAGGTGACACAGAAGCGCTGGCCGACCGATGCCCATGAAAGTATGGACGGCAACAGTAGGCGGCAGTGGAACATGAGACTGGATCTGCAGACGTTGATGTCGCAACGGACGGAGAGAAGGGAAAAGAAATCCAAGCTGTCCCAGCACCAGATCATCATCATTTCCTACACCATGCGTGGGAGGAGGAGGATGAGGAGGGGGCCGGCCATCTGCTAGGTGCCAGTCTTTGTAGCTTCGCGCTAGCCCCTGTCAACCACGAGGAAAGTCGGTGCAAAAAAACTGTTTCGCAGACTTAACCTGCCGCGAACACAAGCTCCTGCGTCCATTAATTTTTACGTCCTGCAGAGAAGGAATGAGCAAAGCGAAGAAAGGCGTGCAATCCGCCGAGGCCACAGGCCCAGGCGTCTTGGGGGTCAGCTCAGGTTCCCTCCACCTAATCCTCCTCCCTGCGGTCCAAATGTTTGGGGACACCCGCTTTTTGCGTTCGTTTGCCACCCCCTTGCCTGGCTTCCCCTCATTTTACCTGATTTGTCGGCCTCCCCTCCCCCCTCTCCGCTTCCCTCTGCCCCCCTCCCCCCCCCCCCTCCCCCCCCCCCTCTGAGATGTAACCTGGACGTGTATCCCCTCGCTAGGCGTACAGGAACACAGGCACTCAGGTGTCTCTTTTGCTACAGGCGCACAGCTGTAGTCCACTGCACTAGAACCTTGAGCAACAGGCATGGATACATGCAAGTGATACGTGAAACAGACAGGCACCTGGATGTGTAACATTCAGTGTTTCAACCAGGCACAAATTTAAAACACGTAGAGCTGCATGGCCGTGGAGTCGGCAATCTACAAGCCTGTTATTGCTCTTGGTCGAATTAGCGGAGTATTGAGCTACATCTGCGACTTGAAGAGAATCTATACATCTCTAGCCTGAAGACAGCTTCAATGAAAAGAGCAGAACACGCACGAAACGCAAACGGATCTTCAACTGAAAACTTTTGCTTGAAAGTTGCCCACTTGTGTTTCAGTTCCCTTTCCAGGCGGAAAGCATACTGTAACATAAAGGTGTAAAGCTCAGCTTTACTTGATGCCAGCATGACATCTTGCGGCAAGGCAAATATATAAGGGCATTAGAAGTATCTTATCCTGAGATAAGTATCTTCCTTTGAGAAAGAGTTCTTTAGGAAGTACCTTTTCCTGAGAAAAGCATCTCCCTATGAAATGGCGAATGCTCAAAGTGGATACCTTCTTATGAAAGAAGCATTCCGTGAAACACACAGCCAGTTCAGTCGACGAACTCTAGGTCTGCATCCCAGGTTCTATCACGCCAATGATCCTCACCATGCCAACGGTAGATGTCGACAGTGTGAATCGGCATCACCGGCTGATGACGAACAGGGTCGTAACCGCGGGGATCAGCAGGGGATCTAGGTAGCGATATCTGTGGATCTGGAGCAACGTCTCCAACTTGTTCCAAAGGAACTTCTTCAGAACCATTGTCCATATCCACGTCCGAAGAATCGGAACCTAGTCAGTTCTTCCCCTTGTTCTTGCCCTTGGACTTGTCCTTGGATTTGCCTTTGGACTTGCCCTTGTCGGCGTCCTTCCCTTTTCCTTTGGAGGACTTGCCTCCTTTGCCGCCTTCTTTGCCACCAGGAGGTTGTGCGGGTTCTGGAGGACGTTGAGAACCAGAAGCTTTAGCACCAGAAGCTGCCTCTTCCTGAGAAGAGCTTGCTCCCTGTGGTGCGGCTGCAGGACCAGTAGAACCAGAACCACGCGCCTTGTTCAGCTTCTGTCTCTCTTTTCTTCTGTCCGCGGCTTCCTTCATGGTGTCGGGATTGCGGTTGAGCGCTCTCATCCTGCCTCCAGAGTACTGGTTCGCGTGAACCTCGATGAGGAGCGGAGTGTGAGCGTCATAGTCCCGATCGTTGAGAAGGTACGCGGCGCTGGTGGAGTTTAACAGCCACTCAGAGACATGGATGTCGAACTCATTCTTTGAAGACGGAAACTCCGCCCATTGATCGTCCGACATGCTGTGTCCCCATTCCATGACTGTAGCCATAACAGGATCCAAACCAGGAAAAGTATTCCAGTCTGGTTGCTTAGCTTCCTTGTATGGCATTCCCAGCGTGTCCTCATACTGTTTCAGAAGCCACATGGCGTTTGCTGACACATGTCTCGCACGAGGCGAACAGAGGTGTGGGCACTTTGGGCTTTCTGACCATGCCTCCAAGAAGTAGTCGAGAAGGCTTTGGTACATCCCGCCACGAATATCCATCGACTCCTGCTTTCTGCCGGTGGCCCGGTAGAGGGCCATGTTGGCGTCGCCACCGATGAGGTCGACTTGGTAGTGCAGCAGTCGATGAACATGTTGCCCAACACTTCATGAGCCAACGCCACCTTGTCTGCCGCCGCGTCGTTGTGGAGGTGGAAGACACAAACTCTCAGCCGGTCGGATCCAGCTCGCTCCAAGACCTTGGTCAGTGACTCATCTGGAACATCACCACGACTGCCCTGGAGACCGGTCGGTAACGTCATGCCATACACGATTTCCGCGACCATATAGGTTATTGGAAGGGACTCGTGGGCATATCCACTGAGAGTGGAGCCGGCAAGACGGGTGATCGAAGATCCGACACCATTTGTACGACTTCCCACCATCAGGTCCTTGGACTCGTTACGAAGGAATTGCCAACCGCGTGACTTGAGGAAGGCCTCTTCGGAGTCATCGATCTGAGCCGCTTCGCAGAGCATGAACAAATGCGTCTTCGACTGTGCAATCGATTTTATCAAGGCTCCTTTAGATGGTGTAGCATCGTCCCAGTCAATGTGATCAGCAACGGAGCGAGGAGCGGTACGCTTTCTTCCCCTGCTCATGTTGCCGAGATTGAGGATGAGCGCGGCATACTTGGTCTTGCTGGTGAAGATAGGGACATTGGAGTCCTCTGCCAGACCAAAACGATGAATATAAGGATTCGGCGTCTTCTCAAGAGAGAGGTCCCCGATCTCCTCTTCATCGACTCCGGCGCTCAAGAAGTAGTGAATCATAGCATTCAAAAGTTCTTCTCGAGTTGCCGGATTGCCGCTTGCATCCAGGGACTTCAGCTTATCAAGAAGTGCTTCCATGACTTCCAGTGCTGATTCTCGGATGTCAGAGGCCTTGCCCATGAGCTTGTCGTCCAAGGTGCTACGAACGTCCCCAGAACGAAAAGCAACGTTCTTCTTGTCGGGACGACGCTCATAGATGGGATCCATCTTGTTGAGTTGGTCGAATAGATCCACCATAGAGAGAGAGTATTTCTGTCCCTTGTGGTTTGGAACATTTACCCTCCAACTCATATGCTGCACCTTGTAGGCGAGAACGGGCTCGTAATCAGGATCACGAAGTCCTGTATGATACAAGCCTGAATAGCCATATCCATGCAGCTGCTTGCAGAGCATCCGCATAGGGCTTTGTCGTTCGATTTCGGTGAGCTGCGTAAGGAAATGTTTGAACTCTTCGAGATCGACGAGCTCGATCTTTTCCTTTGCTTTGCCCATCTTGTCGAACGCGTTCTCATTCTGGTCCTCTGCATCCTTCGCGGCCTGGTAGTACTCAGGATCCGGAACGGTCTTGCATTTCCCCCAGATGCCTTGATCGTGAAGTTCACTTTCATCATCCTTCTCGGGAGAAATGTCTGGCATGGATTCCTCACCCTGTGGTGAGCCTTCCTCAGCCATTTCGACGTTCTCGGACTTACCTCCTTCCTGACCCATGTGCGCATCAGGTTCGACCTTCACCTCGGATGCCTCTCCCTGTGGAGAGCTTTCCGTGGCTTCGGTCTTCTGTTGTGGAACATCCACCCCAGATGCCTCCCCATGTGGAGAGCTTTCCGGAGCGTCCGTCTCCATTGGCTCGACAGTAACCCCAGATGCCTCTCCCTGTGGAGAGCTTTCTGGAGCTTCAGTCTCCATTGGCACATCGGTCGGCTCGGTCTTAACCGGATCAACCTTCTTGCCCTGTGGCAAGTCCGTGGATCCAGACGACGGTTCGGAGGTATCCATCTGAGTAGCCGCGGGAGGCTCCTCGATCTCCTCGATCTGTGGACATGGGAGTCGCTCGATGAACTCCTCGATCATAATGTCGTCGTATGGTCGAGTGAGGAGCTCATTCAGCTCAGACTCCTTCTTCGCCTTCAAGTCTTCGTACGCCACTAAATCAGCTTTTGCCTTGCGGGCGAAAGCCGACTTGAAATCGCGCTGGTCAGACTCAGCGAAGACTTTCTCCAGAACCGCCAGGAGGTAGCTGCCGTTGAACGGCTGCTTCAGGGTACTGTCATAGAGACAATAGCCCTCAGGGGTTCGCACCGTGTATTTACGGCGAACCTCCAGATCACCGGCGTGGCGCTGGATGTAGGAGAAGAAGTCCACTCCATAGGCCTCATTGATGACGCGGACGAGCATCTGGAAATCCTCTCGCACATAGCCAACCTCTTCATACACATACCTTTCCCTGAGGAAAGCCTTGTGTGCGGCGAGCTTGCGAGAGTAGTCGGGATCCTCTGTCCTTGGCATCTTTGCACGAGAGTCATTGTCCCGAGGGCGATCGAATCCAATGTTACCCAAGTTGGGCCTGAATTCGTTCGACGCGGCAACGGAGACATCGTCCAGCATCTGGGCAAGACCGCCAGGATGACGCTTAAAGTTCATCCAAGGTGACGTGTAACCGTTGGAGTAAACCTTCGGTTTCTTGTCCAGCTCCACGAGGTAGTTCCCCTGCAACTTCCCCATCTCGAAGGCCTTGAGGAAGAAGTGCAGGGAGTACCCCGAAAGAGGATGCTGCAACCACGATGCCCAATCGTATTCACCACCCAAAGACTCTCTCATAGAAGTAGTCAAAGTGTGCCAGGGGGTGACCTGAACGAGGGCATCGCCATAGGTGCTAAGCATCGGCTGGCCAGAGGAGT